ATGGAAAAACTTAAAAATTACCTTTCTGTAAAATTTTAATTTTTGTATAAACAATATATTTTAATTAAGACATTGAAATCACATTACAATAAACACGATTTGTATTGTCTATACATTTGAAATGAAAAGTTATTATCTTCACAGTTTCGCATCGAATCGTTTTTTTTAAAGTGCTCTTATCACTTTCCCAAATACATTTGTGACCTTTCCGTCCCCACACCATGCCTCGCCCACCTTTGCAGACTTTTTTTATTCGTAGTTGTTAATATTTTTTACACGACTTATATTAGAACACCAGCTGAATTCGTAAATGCACATCACGATATCGAATATTATTTTCGGCCGTCTCGTGGGAGTGTCTGCGCAATATTTGTCGTGTACCTTATAATTTCTCAATGAAATAGACGGTTTCCGTTACGTCTGGTACGAGTAGCCGCTGACCATACCTTAAAGGAAAGAATTATTAAAGAAACGAACAATAATATTCGTGTCTTGGCGACGGCCTACGGTCTTGCAACACAGCCAGGTCGATCCGTACGTGATGAATCTCCGCGTAACGGGTTTTAATGTACTAACTACAAACGACCGGTGACGCAATTATTGTCATTAGGCACAAACACTCCAGAGCAGTCACAAATCGACCTTCAAATCGGATGGTCGCACTGACAAAAAAATAACAATAAAAACTTATGTTTTTGTCGCGAATTTGATTGTGCTTTTTAGTACAATTAATTACACAATAGAAAAATGTGTAGCTTGTAAGTCAACCATTTAGGTTCGAAACCTTCGAGGGCCTACAAACATATATTTTTTTGAAAAAAGTATGAAAATACCTTAACATTTTCCAAAAATATAAAAAAAATGTCCAATATTGCCCCAAACAAATCTTTACAAATGCGATTAGTACTAGCATCGATTAAACACGAGGGTATATTAATTAACCTATGGTAGCAGCCTTATGTTATTGAATCGTGTTTCTATGCATTTTTTTCTTTGTAACATGTTATATTTATTTACAAAATAAATATGTTATTAAAAAGTTGATAATTCCCCCAAAAACATAAAACTTTTATCAATTGTTAATTTTTTTGTTACATAATTCAAATATCTGTTTTGGCGTGCATGTTTAAATTTAATAGAAAACATTCAAATGCATAAGTCCGGGATCTAGTTGTCACTACAACATGTGTAATGCTGTTTTTAACCCGGACGGAGGGGAATTAAGAACCTAAACTAAAGCCATAATAAGTATACGGAAACAATGTTTTATTATAAATTTTGAAGTTGTGTATTCATAACTTATAAAACAATTCACTACATGGCCCAAGGGTGGGATCATCACCGCCCCTAATCGGTCTTGAACGTGTTCCATCGAAAATGTACTTTTCATTTGATATAAAAAAAAATTGTTTTTATCAATTTATCAGTTTTACTAATTTTTTTTTTTAAATGTACGAGTAAAATTAATTTTTTCACCTAGGCTCAGACCCGGTCGTCCTATACTGATTGAATACCATAAATAAAACACCCTATTATACATATTATGTCGTTTTATACTTTCTCGGGGTTTATGAAAGTGTCGGTATAGTTATTTAACCGACTTAACCCCGAACGACTTTAACAGCGTCGGTAAAGCGATTTTTATCTTCCATCGAATGTATGTACAACATAATATTATACCGTATGTATCATACTATGTTATGGGCCGTGTAGTGTCGTGTAAATTCGTCGGGTAACAGGTGCGTTGGGGTCAGTAATTATGTTTGATCCAGACCTATTTTATCGGTTGGAAAGTGCTCGTCGTCTGCCATTTATGATATCCTGACTTCGTAAAAGGTCGAACAATACGTAATTTTTATGTACGAAAATGGTAGTTCATAAATTGTTCAATTAGGAATAGCACTATTCGGGTAGGCGTTTTTTACTACTTCTGGTAATAGCTGGTACTCATTATTATTTATAGGCTATTTTATATTTTTAACGCTAAAAATTCTATGCTCACATCGTGTATTTCTCCCATAATAGTCCCGTATTTTTTTTTTATCGCGCAGCATCAAAATACTTAGGCCGTCATTATCTTTTTCGAGTTGAATAGAAACCTAGCTATTTGTTCTTCATGCTATTTTAAAAATACATTTTACATCGTTATGCGCCCAGTCGAAGTTTTGAGATGAAATAGGACAACATTTATGTTCTTTCAAGTCATTTCCTGTTCTTATTAATTTCCCGTGTGCTACTGATAGTGAAGACTGGTCGTGCACTCAAACAATAATGTACGTCCGTCGCGACAGATTGAAAAAAAAAAACACTTCAGAGTAAAGTAACGCTGTGCACTGTCATTTGTTTTCCAATGTGGAAAAGTACCGCGATTTTGCTACGAAAAGTTTCTGAGTAATGTGTTTTTTATAAGCCAATAAAGTTTTCACGATTATTTCCAATGGGAGTCAATCTGATTTAATTTGTAGTTTTGTTTTAAATCGGTATAAATATCAATAATAGCATAAACATGTTTTATTTAGACATGGCCTGTGTGTGTATTTCTTCATAATAAACACTACTTAAACATAGTATGTGTCCAGTTTATACAAATTTCAATATATCAGCAGGGAATCGAAATTTGACCCGTTTTTCTAATGAAGCCATAGGTTTATGTAATATTAAAATAAAACTATACGTTAAAATTTGAACGTATTCGCGAAAACAAAAAAATTAACTTTATATTTAGAATAAGTTTTTAAAATTGTTTGCACAGTTTTTAATTAAGTTTGTTAGATAAGATGGATTATAATATCCAACTAGCAACTATGTTTAATGGTAATTTTATAACCGAGTTTGATTTTTCATAATCTCTGTATACTTCTCGGCTTAGGACTATTATTTTGTTTAACTTTCCCCGTACGGCCGTATCACTCACACCGTAGCTTAAAAAAAACCGTGGGAGACTGGTCAATATTTAGCCTTTCGCCGACCTTAGAACTTTCCGGCTGTCTATTAACGTTTGGTGTTATTTAAAAAATATTGCATGTCTAATAGGCGATATGGGTGTTGTAATTGGATAATCGAGATTAGGGAAAAATATAATTTTTATAATGAAAGTGTGAGCTATTGCGGATTGACGGTCACTGGGGAAAACCCGAAACGCACGAAATCCGATTACACGCACATTTGCATTTCACATCACATTTATATTATATTGGTATAATTAACCGACATATTGGCTTCATGTAATGAAAACTGCGGCAATATGTATTTTTTTATATAAAATGAATAGGTGCTTAGAAAGATTTCATAAACAAGTGAAATATTAACTGATTAAAAAAAAAACTTCCTTGCTCATGTCGCGCAAACGAAAGTGAAATATTGGTCATTGAAAAAAAAATGGTTCTTAAGCGAATCCGACTACTATATTATAGTAATATGGCGAAATTGACTGTGGACGGTGTACGGACGAGAAAATTAATTAGCTTTGTTTTTTTTAATCGTTAATAACTTAAAAACTCGACGCAGACCAGTGTTCGTCAAACTGCTGTGATTTTTATTTCCTGATTTGTTTTTTTTTTGTCCTCTAGAACAGTTATTATTTTATTTTAGCATTGACTACTATCTTATCGTTCGCTTTTGAATTTCGATGCGTTAAAAAACAGTTTTTGATACCGGAAATCCTAACTTTTTTTTTCGAAAGTTGTGCGTTAACCATGGCTGTATAGTGGAAATCGAATGTGTCAGATTCAGTTATACCTAATATTCAGCTGAATATATTTTAATAAAACTATATGAGTCCTTTTTTTTATTTTTATTTCCTCGCCAGGCTTGTGATCAATCTACCTTGACAACGTTTTTAAGCGATTCCGGTTTAGAACAAATGGGTATGAAAAAATCGAAAAATGATCCGGCCGGGTAACAATTTTTTTTCGCTCGTTTTCATTACGGAGTCATTATACAACGGTATTGTTCTTTTGTATTCTGAGCCGTTGCGTAATACATCAATATTCTCATCCCTCATAATAGGAAAAACGGGTTACGCCATTCGGCGAGTTTTCATAAAAATATAACCAGAATTAATTGTCACGTGTGTGTGCAGGTGTGAATAATGTTAAAATCATATAATTTTGCACGGCCGACGTGTTCGCATATAAAGTTAACGGAATCGACTGTTTTGGAAAATATTTTCGTGGTTCTCCGGAGGAAATGACATTTTCATTAAAAAGAATTTGAACAGATTTTCATACAAATAATTTCATTATTCATCATCGTTATCATCGGCTATTGTGTATTTTTTCGATTTCATTTTAACTTGGTGGCGTTGAACGCGGCCATGAATTCTACGACAATGAGAATACACGTGTATATACATAAAATAGTGCACTTTGAAGACATCTTATTTCCCGAATCGAAGTGCGCGTAGGACCCGCTGCATCATAGTCGTCCATCGAGCCAATACCGGTTACCTCGGTTCCGGTTTTGGAAAAAATACAGAATGCCAAGTTTTTCTACAATTGATAAGAATAAATATTATGGCCTTGCTCCTATCTCAAAATTAGAAGAAAAAATTTTCCAGGGAATCGTAGCATCCTCTTTAGAGGAAACGAAAAGTGTAACTTTTTCCTTAGTAAAATCCAATCAATCATTTTAACAGATTACTTTTACCTTTTTACCCGCACAACTAATCAAAATCTTAAGACATTTTTTTCACACCCTTAACTTCAGACACACATTGCCAATTAACAAAACGGCGAGAAGCGTGTAGTGATTGTGTATGTTATTACTGCGTTGACTAAACGAACTTGGTGTTTGCCGTGACGCAACTTAAATCCGTTTCGGCTATTGTACGTGCATTACGATATGTATTTAACGAATTCACGATATGCACCTTCGTTTCGTGTATGTTGTGCATGCATGGCAGTCGTTCGGCGTTACACATAATACATCACAATTTAGAATCGTGTTGTAAAATATGTTTTATTCTTAACAGATTATTAAATTTGTCTTTATTTTTGCAGGTCATCCACGGAGTGCACATCGAACCGGCGCACATAATGAGAAAGAGAAGCGTCAATCAGCCTCTCCGCATTCTTCTCTACTACGACGAGAGCGTGTACAGGTGTGTGTTTATATTATATTATGACAATCGTGTAACAATAATAAAGTAACTAGTTATTAAAGTCATCCTTCGACGGGTCAAAAATCGTTGCATGTATTATCGCACGCCAGTCACAAATGAGAGCGTTTTTTAAAATTTATAATTCCGCTTTAGGTTATGTCTGTTTGTTGTTATTACGCTGTCACACGCTCCTGAAGAGGCAATCACAACGATTTCTCAACTAGTATACAGAGACGGATTACCCACACGCCACACGGTTGCTATATTATAATATTAATATTGCGCCGGTCGTGACGTTTGTTTATTTAATTGACTATACCTGATTGTATGTATTTGCATGACGACCGCCGAGTCGCTATCGTGACACACCGCCCGGGCTTTACCGCCGACTATCCATCATAATACATTATTTTATTTGGACAGCCGGAACGATTTTATCAGCCCGGCGCGGCGTGATCGGATTTGTCAGTGAATGAAAACAAATTAATTGCACAAGGATATCCTCAAGAAATGTTCAAATGTCATCTGCGGCTACCCGTCGTGGCGGACGGTGTAATTTTTGTAAATCTAATGGAAGATCATAGTTGATTAAACTTTGACACGATAATATTGTAATTCCTCACGGCGAGTTCCCGTAAAACTGAATAGCGGATCTTCGTATGTTGCATAGTTGATGAATTACTGTGTAATAAAGAAATTAATATTTAAAATACCTAAGCGTAAAAACTTTTATGGTTAAGTGTTTTATACATCAATTTCTTTATTATTTAATATAACTATAAGTTGCTAAGTTTTTTCTAAATGAATTACTGTGTTACCCTCAGGCTTTATTTGTAAAATCCTAACCCTGGCTCGCATTGGCTTAAGTATAGTGAAGGGTAGCCCCGTGTTCAGACCATATGAAAATTCTTAAAGCTCCCTCTGAAATTCGGTAAAAATGCATAACGTTGCTTGGAGGCTATGGCTAAGTGCTCAAATTTTTTTAGAGTGAATGATTTGAACTTCTCTAACTCCCTTACTTCTAGTTGCGCCGATATCTCGGGTAGTAGGGCTTGTGGTTTTTAATTATAGTATTCTGTTTTTTATTTTCGACGTTAATTTATTGAAACAAGCAAGCGTTGTCGGTATTAATTTCGAAAACTATAGTTTAAGTACAGTTCTGTTGTTCACATTTAACGACGTCGATTGGAAACCAACGGAAAATATTCCACGCTATAACAGAGCAAACATGTTTGTCTGGGTTTATTGTTGGGAATTGTCTGTTCACGTTAGCTCTGGGAAACGGAAGACGATTATCGGGAGTATTGACCGGAGATGGTAGAAGGGGATTGTGCGCGTGCAAATCAAGAGATATTGCATACATTTTAGCTACATATTATCATGTTATTTAAAGTTGTGTTATACAAGTACGCTGTGCTTAGTAATCTAATATTTTATCCACTTACCTGTCGTTCGTCTGTTGTCTAATATTTCAATGATCTAATTTCGGTTAATCATAATTTAACGTCGTGATGTCGTAAGCGGTATCGCACGGACAAATTAATTTTAAATAATCATAATTTTTCGGTCACGTGTGATGCTATTGCGTGTGTAGTTTCGCTTTTGTTATTATTATAATTTTTTTTTCTCTAAAAAGAGCGCGTTGCAGCAATACATTGAGATGATTTTTGTGAACATTGTCCTCCTTCAATCATTTGTGCGGCGCATAATAATATGCAACGTTCTATTATAGAGTGTCAGTTTTACAGTGTCACCGAAGTATATACCTACCATGTTAAACGCAATCAATTTACGGTATATAACATAACGTCGTTGGAACCGTGATGAAAAGTGTACCTCGATAATGATAATAATATTATAAATCTATTCACTATGCAGTGGTCTATACCGGGTGATTCTTTTAACGCTCTACAAAAGTTTTCTTTCGAAATAATTTATATTTTGTAATTCTTCTTTTTTATTTATGCTGTTACAATATTCAAACTTTTATCTTTTTTAGTATTTTCTAGGACTTTTGAAACTTAAATGTATGTATACATTTTAATAACTTTTAAAATTAAGAATAATTCTCTGAACAATTTGACTGGTCGATAACCAGTTTTGAATAAATATTTTTAAAGTTATTAAAGTTTAAATTTTAGGAATGGTGGAGAGTAGAGATATTTTTATCCGCACGCATTACCCAACCGCACTCCACCTCCCGTCCTTAATTTTAAACTTAAATAACCTTAAAAATATTTATTCAAAAGTTGATCAGTCAACATTTTCAGTAGATTATTCATAATTTATAAATTCAGTTAAATATATATATGTTATCATTTAGGTTACAAAAGTTGATAAAGCTTTAGCAAATACTAAAAAAGATAAAAATTTTAATATCGTCTATTATTTTACTAAGACATAAATAAAATTGCAATTATTTTAGGAGTAAACTAATGTAGGGCGTTCTAATAATCACCCGGTATGACGTTCTGAAAAACAGTCTAGAATGATAATGTTATAGAGTAATGGTTTTTTTCTAAGAGCAACGAGGAGATGAGCAGGGTTCGTTGGGAGATCATGAACACACTAGGAAGACTCACGGTGACCACCTTTTCTCTTCTTACGAAACGTTTCGATTGAACTCGAATACCGAGTAAACGGTTTGTAAAAATTATGTTCCAAAGGAATTTCGGTAGTATATTCTCGTGCGTTGGTTTCTCTTGTTGTTTTACCACAAGTCTTCAAAAAACGATTATACATCCAAAATCAATTATTTTGAGTAACGCGAGTCGAGTTTTTGTTTTTTTTTTTGGTAAACACAATCCAGTACACGTTTGACACGTGTCCAAACAATATACTTTACAACTTTTCAATAACAACAACACCAGTTATAATTTTAGGGATTGACGTGTTCCAGTAGGAAATGACACGTTAGAATTAGGCACAAAGGGGGTGCGAATTTCAACCGATGCCAGCACGTTGTAGGTAACGTACCTAAATCATAATGTTCCAACAGTTACGGAGAAATCAATCGACGTGCATAGAAATACAACAGCCCATACTCTATCAAGCCAATACGATTTATAATTTGTTATTTTTCACAACTCTAAGGATCACTTAACACGCGGAAGTCAGGCGATTTGTGCGGTTTGTTTGAATAAAATGTTTATTATAATAATAATAGAACAGGTTGCATTATTATTATTATAGAACCGAGCCGACAAAAATCTAAACATAAATCGTTGGTATTATGTTATAACTGTTATACACATTAATAGGCTGGTCATGTGATGGTTATAGTTTGTTGTAAATAAACATATATTTTTTTTGTGTGCTGATGCGTGTAAATTCTCTGGCAAAAAATTGTTTAGTAGAATTATTCACAACTGTTGCGTGCCGACAGTGGTTGTTAATTTTAATTTCTTTTCTTCCTGCAAACTAAATCTGCAATTTTAATCGACAGAGCATTTCATGTCCCTTCTCACAGCAGCATTGCGCACTACAGTAAATGACTTAATATTTATATTTTTCCACACTCACCATTAGGATCTGCGTTAGGTGGCTAGGTTTTTTTATTAATTAGGTACTATAATAGTGTACATAATTAACGAACACTTTCCGAAAAACTTATGGTTTATCTCAGTGGCGAATCAAAGTGGGAGGTACAGGGAATTGATGAAATGCATTACGGTGGTTACTGACCGTTAAATTTAGTTTTGCTTAGTCGTGGCACGAACTTCGGCTTTGAAGTTGCCTTCTCGACATCACTAGAATAGTCGCATACGGGATGTATTCGATTAATACTAGCATTAATATACTTGCTGTGTTTATTTGTGAATAGCAAAGGTATGCTTTGCACGTATCTACTATGTATTGATCCTTCTCAACCTCGGGTTTAGATTCGGGTTCTTTACCGTTACTGTTATGTGGATATACCTAAAACAATTAAGAGTCAAGAACTGAACGCTATTACTAACGTTTCCATATGTCAACGATGTAAACCCAATAACGGTTACATATAGCCAACCTGTTTAATAACAATTATGAAAAACGTCGACAATTATTGGGAGCGTGTCAAAAGTTCGAACCTATAGTTAATGTCTGTTCGAAAGGTTAAAGCCTACATGGACATTTTTTTATTTAAATAACACTAATAAACGGTTTTTTGAAATACATTTTTAATTACTGTATAAATAACATTTTCATAAAAAACAATTTCATCATCATCAGTGCTCTGTAAAATAGTGTTCTGTGTTTAATTTAACATAAAATCCTGTAGTGTAAAAAATCGAAAATATTTAATTGATTTTTTTTAGTTAATCGATTTGTGATGAAGTGCACAAAGTCTTATAAATTCTTAACGTATTGGACTTTTTAGCATTTTTTTAACATAATAAAAGAAATCTATTATTAAATATGAAAAATGGATTTATAATAAATTTATAAATCTAAAGATATTCTTCCTGGAAAGTCGGTGTTTTCGACTTAAAACCTTTATAAACACTCAAGTTTATTTATGCATTAATGAGTTAATTTTTTTTCGAGTTTTCCCTCGTAAAATAAAAAGGGATTTATAAAAAAGTTGGTATTTCGTTGGTTCATATACTAGATCTAATTCTACAGTCAAATATATTTTACACCTTACGTTCAAAAACTACGGCTACAAAAAAAATGATTTATCCCTTCTCTAGGAAAACGGGTGTTTCTTGGTTTTTCACTCTATATTGATACTCAATTGTTATACCTAAATAGAATATTTCTCACAAGTCTGTAATGTATATATTTATATTTTTTTTTTAAAGTTTAATGTGCCGTAATTTAAAATCGAAAAAAGTGTAAATATGTATACATTTATTTTTATTTGTTTTCGATTTTAAAGAGAAAGACCAGTTATTAAGTGCGATATAATGTGAACACTACTTGTCACACACTGCTACATTATCGCAACCAATACTTAGCCCGGATTTTGTTTGTACACTTTCTATTCGAACAAAGTGATTTCGAACTTATGACCCCTT